GCTCTTGCACACACACACGCACGCCCCAGCACCCCCCTCCCCTCTCCGCCGGGCTCTGAGAAGCTTCCTCCGGCCCCGGCGCGGGGATGCGTGTTGTGCACAGTTTTCCTAACACGGCGGCACGTTAGCCATCTGCAAGATGAAGGCAGGCGGGCAGGGCTACGGCTGGATGAAAGGATGCGAAGGGATGGGGAGGGGAGGGGGGTCGGGGGGAATCAAACCAAAACAAACCGGCCGGAGCGGGAGGGGGAGGAGGGAGGGGGGGGAAAGCTACACACCTTACACGGGGAGAGGAAGGCAGCCCCTAACTGTTGTCAACAGCTTTCGGTCTGCACCATTTCTCTGCCATATGGCCCGATCTCCACGTCGGAGCTGAGATTTTTAGCTCAGCAGCTTCACACGAATCGTATCCCCAGCATCGGCAGTTATATATTCAGACATATTTTTTTTTCTCCTTAAATTTCCACTCCCTCTCTCTCTAATGGGAATAACTCACCCATCTTGTAGAGATCAAGTGCAACAGAAGGCGAGCTGGAGTCCCCAAGCTTTAGAAATTTCATTTCACCGTTTTTAACCCAAATAAGAGCGAATCCAATCTTCTGTACACCTGGGAATCTTTCCTTGTTCAAACACCGAGCCCTGCAGCCTTGGCTAAAGCCTACAGACAGAGAATACAGAGCGCTGAGCCAAAAGCCAGTGATGTCACCCATGCAACGTGAGACTCATTTCTTATTTCTCTAGCCTCCTTAAAGATAAACTGCACCACTTCCCAGGCAGGAAATGTCGAAGCCTTACTTTCTTAAGAAGGGAAAATGTAAAACCTGGATTTAACTGGATCCTGATCATTCTTGGTCACAAGCCCTTACATTGTGTCAGCCAAATCCAAGAAAAGCAGAGCTGTTTTGTACTGCACCAAAAAATCCCCAACCTACTATGTAACACAGAGCGTGAGCTTGAAAAAAACCTGGTTCAAGACCTTCTCCGTGATCCAGAAAATGGAGGCCTTCAGACTCTGAACTGTACTGTTTAAAAAGGAAATAAGCACAACTATTTTCCTTGAATCAAAAAGCTCTGGACCCTGGCACACCTTGGCCTGTGAGTACCACAGCATCCTGGAGCTGGCAGAGGGACCTAGTTAGCCCCATCCAATATTTGGCTCTCACACACCAGAGACTCCACAGCATGAATAGCAAACAGTGTGGTCACTCCTACTGCACCAAAAAGTCCACAGCCTGATGCCTCTCCAAGGACAAAAATCTACATGCATGCTGGATCCTGCCAGCTTTTGGCCCCTAAAGCCCAAGCTGTGTCATCTGAATGGAAAACAAGCACAGCCTTTATTGGAGCCCCTGGGTTGGGGATAGTCCTTGACTCCAGGAGGGGAGTACTGGGATTTTGCTACCTTTGAACCCTAGCCACACAAACTGTACTTGTTCCAGTGGGGCAAACAGAGGGGGGACATACAGCATTTCATATATCAGAAATACATACTTAGATTTTCTTGTGCCGTACAGCTGCATCAGAAAAAAGCACATGGCTGGATCCTGCCAGGTTTTGGCCCCAAACTAAATTGTATCATCAAAAAAGGCACAATGACTCCTTCCATTTTATCGGGCAAAAACAGGTACCAAGTCAGCTGGGATTTTTAGCTTTGGAAGGGCATCTCTCCTGTTAAACCCTTTTTAGTTGTACTGTATTGTCTAACCCCCTCACATGATTATGAAACTCACAAAGAATTGATCATCCAAATGATAGATGTTGTGATCATCTGCATCCTCTGAAACAGCCCTATTGCAAAATTTCAATGTTATGTTATGAATACTAACTGTATCTGGAAAGCTCTAGGCAAAATTAACAGTTTTATTGAAACCAGGCCCTGGTTTAAATTTTTTTTAGCAATAGCTTCCCCTTGTTGTTCATAATAAAAGCAAATATTTAAGAATCTAAGGCTTTTTAAAAAGAGTTAAGCACAGGTTGATCCACTTCTATAACTGGATTTTTCAACCAACTACACGTCAGTACATAAAAGTTAAATTTTATACTGGCCTTGGAGCAGCCATACTTGTCATCTGTTCGGAGATAAAAATTGGAGTCTTGTGGTCAAAAAGCTGCTTGTTCCTATGAGAAGATGGTGAACAGGTTTCTTGTATCACACCCACACAGAGATGAGAGTGAACCTGGATTTCTTTGTCAATTTTTAGCATCGAATCCCAAGCTGGAGGATGAGAACACGGAACAAGCCTAATTTTACCAAATGTGGTTTTTGGCTGATTGTTGCATTTTTGATTTAAGGACGAGAGTCTGCTACATTTATTCTCTATTTAGACTGAACTGCAAGGCAAAACTAGAAGATTGGGGATAAGAGCACAATGGAGGATGCAGCTACTAGAGTTGTTTTTCTCATTATATTGCCCAAAGATATGTTAGGGAACAGGAAAATAATTTAATGTAATCATACCTACATTTCTTTTCTAGTTAAACATTAGGATTATAGTCCAAAGAGCCAAGATTTGGTTGAACCCAGGCAGGTCTTATAAGGTGACAGGTTTATCTGTCACACTCCGAGGCAGTAAGAGAGTTCAGGGCAGGGGGATTTTTGTACCTGGAGAAGCCAGACTTGTTCCCTCTTTTTGTTTTTAAACGTGGGTTTGAAAGTCACAAATTGGCATGCAGTTCCAGGTTTTATCTTTTTCTCTGAAAAGGCATTTCAGTGGCAGTTTCTATGCATTTTTATTTTTTTGCTTGCATTTGTAGCTTTATCAGATGGCAATCTATATCCTCCTGCAAGTCACCTTAAATATATAAATGTAGGAGAAAGTGTTGGATTTCAGATGAGCTCCACTTTAACTCTTAGAATTAAACATGTCTCTCTGTCATCATCAGTATCCCCTTCTTTTCAGGAGGGGCAGGACATTGCTTGCTGCAGGCATTAGGAACCTCTCCTCTGTCTCTTCCCAGGATTATTATAGACAGCCCCTTCTCAGCGCAAACAGATCATTATTAAATTCTCTTCCTCCCACCCCACCCCCGCCTTACCACAGGGGAAAAAAAAACAATCCTTGTCGATCTTCAGATGAATGTAAGCTGGGAGAAAGATGTTAACCAAAACCAAAAAACCTCCTCGCACACTTGGGCACGCTACTTGGAAACTGCTCCCTCCAGTGAATTAAGGGCATCTTGGCAAAGGGAGGTAATTCATGGGTCTTAAATCAATCAGGGAGTGAAAATGCAGTTTTAGTAAAGGATTGAAAGCTGAGACTTTCCTTTCTGCAGAATATGATTTCAGTGATCTGGAGTGAAAGCTAAAGCACATGGGTGCACACGAAAAATATCTGAAAGCATGGGACAGAGAAGCGGAGCCCGGCGAGTCTGTTCAGAGCCAATTCCTTGTGACAAGCTGTGTACTGCCTGCTGGACCTCACCACGGATGTTATCTTACAGACAGGGCCAGTCTCCTCTCCATTCCCTCCCAGGATTGTTTCCGTTTTCCTTAGCATCCTCCAACTACTATCACCCACCACCTTCCAAGAAAGCTGCAGATACAAAAGCAAAGAGAGCGCCAGTACCAAGGTACACACGGGCAGGGTGCTGGGTTAGAAGGAGGGAAGGGCAGAGTTAATGGACAACAGATTGCAATTTTTTTTTTTTTTTTTTTTTTTTCTTTTAAAGAAAAAGAGTTCAGTGCCATCTAGTGGGGGAGGGGATTGAGCAAGTCAATGTGCTTCTCATTTCTAGGGATCTGTATTGCTAACTCAGTTATTCAATAGGGAGAGATGATCCTCAGTATTTCCCCTCTCTCCTTCTGATCTCCATTTCCCAAGAGGTGATGTTTAACTTACATGGGCTCCAGCCTTCATTCTTTGTAATGAACCACCTGCTGAAGCCAAAGGAACTTGTACTAGTGTTGTATTACTTGGAGTAGCACTGGCTCTGGAGGCAGTTCACCGCTCTAATTACAGGATTTCAAATACAAGACATTAATCAAACCAAACACAGATACAACAAATTATATCTACTAATATTTTTTATCATTCCAATGCACCTTGGATACTGGTGTGGGTGAATCCCCAGCATGCCAGCCCTTCTACTAACACAGATATAAAAGATGCCACCTATCCTGTAGAAGCATCTTATACTAAATCCCACAAACATTTGATCCATCAGTCAAACAGTTTTTGGGGTGTTCAGGTAACTCAGATCCAAGCAGAGGCTCTATAAAAGAAGATCTGGACCACAAAACATATAAAAGTTTGTCATCTGAAACCTGGGCATCTAAACCAGTTGTTAATGCGCTTTTTTTTTTTTTTTTTTTTTTTTTTTTTTTTTTTTTTTTTTTTTTTTCAATAGAAAAAGGCTTTTCAGAGGGAAACATTAACCAGCTGCATAAACACATGCTAGCCGTACACACACGCACAGACAGACACAGACACACAGAGATTTGGTAGACAGCTATGCACACACTAGTGTTTTGCTGTGCACACGCTCATGTCTAGCTGCACGCACTAGCACCTAGCTGGACATCTTCTGCTCTCCACCATGCCAACTCCCAAAAGGGATTTGTTTTGCTCTCTCAAAAAAACATTTGGATTGCAAAGTTAAACAAGTTAGTGAATGCCAGATTTAAGATCACCCATGCAACATTAATTCACCCCTTATGCAAACACATCATGATACAATCTTTAATTACATGATTTTTGTTTCTATGGGTCTCCTGCTTTTTTCAGTGCAAAGAATGGATGTTGCTCACTTAATGAATGCTATTCAAATTTTCTCCAAGCCTTATCATCCAATGTGTGGTGCATGTACTATTTACTGCAGAGCACCCAGATCTTGCATTGAATACAGAATGATTAATTTCCTCATGGGCTTTTCTATAGTGGTGTTCTCATTGTACTGTTTGAGGGTTAGGGGTTTTTTTGCAAACATCAATGAATTTATCTTCAC